TGTATTGCAAAGTTGTATTCAGAAAGAATAAACTAGTTTTATTTAAGAAGGACTTGTATCGCTAAAGTTTCTTTGGAAAGAATTTTTACTGAAAATTAATCAACAAACGACTAGAGGCGTAACAATAATATTAAATAAAACAACTGACTAATATCCAAGTTTATAATATTAAATAAAACAACTAACTAATATTCAAGTTTAATAATTAAAATAAAAACTGGCTAATATCCAAGGTTATAATATTGTTAGGACAGCGGGGGTCACATGATGCTAGTAACACTTCATATTCTCGAAGGTTCGTGAATGTTCGAGTGTTTACTAGATATGCGGTATTCATGTATATAAGACTGCCAAGAAGTGACGGCAACAATATAGAAGGTAATTGAATTGCAGACAGAGATACAGACGACAATTGAGCCAAGCGCGTGAATCGTTCGTTCATTGTGAAATATAGCGTTAGTTTAAGTTATAGCGTGACTGTGGAAATTAAGTGTATTGCAAAGTTGTATTGATAAAGAATAAACTAGTTTTATTTATGAAAGGACTTGTATCACTAAAGTTTCTTCGGAAAGAGTTTTTACGGAAAATTAACTAACGACCAGAGACGTAACAATATTAATAAATAACCTGCATGCTAATCATAGGATTCATTAAATAACATGCATGCTACTCATAGGATTCATTAAATAAGCTCCATGTTACTAACAGAATTCATTAAATATGCTGCAGGCTACTCGCTGGATTCATTAAATAAGCTGCTGGCTACTCGCAGGACTCATTAAATAAGCTGCAGGCTACTCACAGGACTCATTAAGTAAGCTGCTGGTTACTTGTAGGACTCATTACATAAGCTGCTGGCTACTCGCAGGACTCATTAAATAAACTGCAGGCTACTCATAGGATTCATTAAATAACATGCATGCTACTCCTAGGATTCATTAAATAACACGCATGCTACTTATAGGATTCATTAAATAAGCTCCATGTTACTAACAGAATTCATTAAATATGCTGCAGGCTACTCACTGGACTCATTAAATAAGCTGCTGGCTACTCACAGGACTCATTAAATAAGCTGCAGGCTACTCACAGGACCCATTTCTACCACAAAACTTTCTTAATATAAATACATTTTAATGTAATAAAATTTCACATCACAGATATTTGTTTTACTCACTGGTTTAGCCAAAAGTAACATTTCCAATGTAGGTTCATCTTAACAGCTGCATTGATACAAAGGTTTCAACAGATAACAGTAATTAATGTCATAACAAGCGAGGCACATCTATAACACGAGTTTAAAAACCAAAACCTACATTTATAAACAGCAGCAACAGATGTATACAGAAACAAACACCCAAATATAATTACACTGACAGCTACAAACACAGTTTAGTTTTCAGTAAATGGTTTGAAGTAAGCTTACCTTCAACTGAGTTGTAGCAATGGTTATGGCAGCTGCAGAAGTAAAGCCACTAATCACAGGTGCAGGTATAAAATTTATTAAAAACCCTGTAAGGAATTTAAAGAGATGAAAATGTATTTAAATGTTACTACTTGAAAATCATACAAAATGACTAAAATGCTGAAAAAGAATTATGCATTTTTTGCATGCACAAAACAAAATTGAAAATTAAAATACACAAATGAAAAGTATCACTTTTGGTAAGTTGACTTATGCCAAGTTTTTTAACAGCCTATTACAATCTCTGAAATATTGAGGATTCAGAACAGCTTTTCCAAACTAAATTAAAGAAAAATAAATTTGTATGTAAATAAGCCTTAGGAATGAACACAACATTTTGAACAACAAGTAACACAGATGAAGTAATACTATTTGATGCTTGCATGAACACCACATTTTGGACAACAAGTAATACAGATGAAGTAATACTATTTGATGCTTGCATGTGCACAGGAAGTTACTTTTAGTACTCCACACATCAGCTAAAGACATTAGGTTCTGGATATTTAACATATTACTCATTCTCTCTTCTAACTCTTCACACGGACATGTCATAAACACCACTTTACAGACTACACTGTTTCAGTATCGGCCATTACAAACATAAACAATACTGGATTAAATAGTTTGGAACTTGAGATAAACTTTCTAAAGATTACACAACTTCTACAAAATAAACGTTTCTAACAAAGTTGTGAAAATTTGAAAAGGATTAATTGGGATACATTTTTTAAAGATAATTAAAAATACCTTTGTGTTTATTTCAATTACTAATTTTTCATCTTTCTATATTCTTGTAAAACTTTTCAATAATTTTTTTACTTTATTAAACTAAATTTTACCTTTGTTTTGATTCAAAAGACTGCAAAAAATTTCACTATGTTTATGATCACTGGTGTACAATAAAAAAAAAATTCTTAACCAAAATTTACAAGAAAAATCACAATTCAAATGAAGCTTTAAAATAAATCAGAACTATAATTGTGGCAGAAGTTGCTAAGCCAACTTCATCAATGAACGAGAAGCCATACTGACTTACACAGTTGAAGAAATAAAAAACTTTCATGACATATCAGTGAAGTATGATTAGTCATCTGTTATGTAAACATGCTTTCAGAACTCACTAGCATATGACACCAAACAACACAGACACTAAACTGATGACTTATAAGGCAGTGTTCAAGAGACTTTTATACTTTGTCTGTTACTCATTAAAGTAATTATTATTATTAATTGGTATTGTACCTAGTTTTAGCCACTCTTCTAGTAGAAGTTTTTACACAATCCTCAATAGGGAGATATAGGTAATTACATCACACTCTGACAACCAAGGTATAGCTAGAAAAAGTTACAAGGTTCAAATTGGTATAAATTACATTTTTATTAAAGTTACAAGGTTCAAATTGGCACGCTTTTGTTCCAAAGTATTTTGTATTTCCTCCTAGGTGGTTATGAGTGCCATATTATTATCAGAAAAAAAATCAAGAAAATTCACAGACAAAAATGCTTTTCATCTGGAGTGTGCTGAAATCACATAATATTAAAATTTGCTATTATTTTTCATGTATAAAATGAAATAAATCTCTTTACTGAATAAATTTTAAGTATGAAGGTTTTATATTTCACAGAATGTTTGTTTTCTGCTTTATTCCTCAGAGTAGGTTGCACCTAACTGAGCCATAAGAGCTAAGCTCATCTCAGTTCCAGTTTATATGTGAGTGACCTGTTATACAAGCTCTACAGAAATCATATATATATGATGTATTGGGAGGCATACATTATTTAGGGTTAATATATACAATAATATATGTTTTACACAGCTAGCTACAGTGAGGTCTAAAAGGATAAGCACATCCTAGTGACATACCCATAAAAACCCTAGCTTATATTTATTTCACTCATTATCTATGCACCCACATACAAAACTTAAAACTTGTGGTTTGGCTTTAACATAGGAGGAATTCACAGTGATCTTTTAATGATAATTAAAAAATCACACGGAATCAAACAAAGTTTGGTAACTCACATTAAAAAAGAATCTATAAAACTATCTGTTTCAACAGGTCCACCTACCAAAAGTGATACCATTTCATTGAATGACATTGAACTTAAATCGTGCCAGTTATGTAAAGGACATTTTTTGGAATCTTCAATTGTATTATTGCTTTAACCAAAATTACTTAAGATAGCTTAACATTTCACATTGAACAAATTAGTTTTTATCGATGATTCACAAAATGTTTTGTAACAGAAACTTTATTACTGCTTGAAACAAAAAAAAGTCAAAATTTTCAAAACTTACCTAAATTAAGAAAGCCCATTAGCAATTGAATACATCCACAGAGAAAGGTAAGTAATACAGAGTAAGAAACTCCTCCAGTAAGAACATGTTCGGAGGTTATAATGGACATTATAGCAGTAGGTCCTATTGTCAGGTCCTTACAGCTTCCAAATATGACATACATAAAGCAGCCCATAAAAGCAGTGTACAGTCCATACTGTATTTAGAAAACCAAACATCTCAGTCCAAAAAAAGAAATACATACCTCTTTCACATTTATGAGATACACATCTTTATAAATACGCCTTAAAACACCATATTTTTAGTGTTCCAGTCTGTTACTTATTGGTATGGAACTCTGCATAACTATATAAACTGTCAAAGTTACACACTAAATGTATAGAACACTGCATAACTATTTAAACTGTCAAAGTTACACACTAAATGTATGGAACACTGCATAACTATTTAAACTGTCAAAATTACACACTAAATGTATGGAACCCTGCATAACTATATAAACTGTCAAAGTTACACACTAAATGTATGGAACTCTGCATAAATATATGAACTGACAAAGTTACACACTAAATGTATGGAACTCTGCATAACTATTTAAACTGTCAAAGTTACACACTAAATGTATGGAACTCTGCATAACTATTTAAACTGTCAAAGTTGCACACTAAATGTATGGAATTCTGCATAACTATATAGACTGTCAAAGTTACACACTAAATGTATGGAACTCTGGATAACTATATAGACTGTCAAAGTTACACACTAGATGTATGGAACTCTGCATAACTATTTAAATTGTCAATGTTACACACTAGATGTATGGAACTCTGCATAACTATTTAAACTGTCAATGTTACCCACTAGATGTATGGAACTCTGCATAACTATTTAAACTGTCAATGTTACACACTAGATGTATGGAACTCTGCATAACTATTTAAATTGTCAAAGTTACACACTAAATGTATATTTTAATATCTTCATTACAGACATCATCAAAATTTGGTTAGCAGCAATGAACAACACATAGAGATATAGATTCATGCTATTTATTCTTGGAAAAAAGGTATGTTGACAGTGTGTCTATCAGTGTATTTGAATGGTGACATAGTGTGTGTCTATCAGTGTATTTGAATGGTGACATAGTGTGTGTCTATTAGTGTATTTGAATGGTGACATAGTGTGTGTCTATCAGTGTATTTGAATGGTGACATAGTGTGTGTCTATTAGTGTATTTGAATGGTGACATAGTGTGTGTCTATCATTGTACTGGAATGGTGACAGTGTGTGTCCATCAGTGTATTGAAATGGTGACATAGTGTGTGTGTGTGTCTATCAGTGTATTGGAATGGTGACATAGTGTGTGTGTGTGTCTATCAGTGTATTGGAATGGTCACATAATGTGTGTCTACCAGTGTATTGGAATGGTGACATAGTGTGTGTGTCTATCAGTGTATTGGAAGGGTGACAGTGTGTGTATGTGTCAATCAGTGTATTGGAATGGTGAATTGATGCTACAAAATAGACAAGAGGAACACTTGATGCTAGCTATATGAGAGAGTCTACATGATGCTACAAAATTACACAACAGGAACACTTGATGCTAGCTATATGAGAGAGCCTACTTGATGCTAACTATACGAGATAGTCTACTTGATGGTACGAAATAGACACAAATAACACTTGATGCTAACTATACGAGATAGTCTACTTGATGCTACAATATATACACAAGGAACACTTGATACTAACTATACGAGATAGTCTACTTGATGCTATAAAATATACACAAGGAACACTTGATGCTAACTATACGAGTTAATCTATGTGATGCTACAAAATAATCATAAATATTAACTGAGGTAATACAGATACACATGTTAACCCTGTAATGTAGCTTCTTAAATGATCTAGATTTTGACTTAAAAGTCATTGTAATAAAGTTATATTAAAGTATCAATTTTAAAGATTGCCAAGCTTATGGTTTAGCACATCACATGGAAAGAAAACACCACTAACCTGTTGTGGTAGTCCAGCTAATATTGCAAGAGCTAGACCTTGTGGAATAACAGTTAGAGCTACAGTCACTCCAGCAATTGCATCACCTTTAAGATCAGCCAGTGTATAGCGAGGAAGCCATGTTGTAATCGGGAACCTCCGATGAATAGCTCGAACAGAGCAGAACCCTTGTTGACAGTTTGTAAAACATTCCTTTACATCAAATGTATCATCGTCTTCTTCTTCTGACAAAACATCACCTCCTTCATCTAAGAAGATACCTATATTACTAAGCAGAGATACCTACATTAGTACAGAAAATATTCATGTAGCTATACTATACTTCTTGAAATACATGAATTTATGGAAATTGAATGACCAGTGATACATCCACAACATTTTTTAGCATAAATTTGCAGATTCCATAAGTAACCTCAATGTAAACATGTGATTCTGATCATCTTCCCATATATTTTGAATCTTTTTTTTTTACTCTAACCAAATGTTTATTATAAAACAGAAATTAAAAAAAAAATTATTTCATTGTTTGAGCACATTTACTTCATGTAAAATTTACATTATGAATGATAAATGTGTTGTTACGCCTTCAGTCGTTAGTTAATTTTTACGTAAATTCGTTCCGACGAAACTTTAGCGACACAAGTCCTTTCTTAAATAAAACTGGTTTATTCTTTCCGAATACAACTTTACGATACACTTAATTTCAACAGTCGCTCTATAACAAAACTATAATTCACGTCTCACGAGGCCAGCAATATTTTGTCCGCATACATTCAATTACTCATTACCTTTCCGTCGCTTAGTGGCCGGTCTTATATATATACAAGACTACACTATATCTAGAAAGATCACAAGATTTAAGGAAAAGACGTGAAAGCTCGAGAATGACGTGGCGTGATACTAGTCACGTGACCTCGATGTCGTAAAAATATTATGTTATGGTTTTGTCTTCTACCCAGAGCCACAGAATGTGATAGTTTTGTTTACTATGCAGAACTAGAGAATGTGATGGTTTTGTCTACTACCCAGTGCTAAAGAATGTGATGGTTTGGTCTACTACCCAGAACTATAGAATGTGATGGTTTTGTCTACTACCCAGAAGTATAGAATGTGATGGCTTTGTCTTGTACCCAGAGCTATAGAATGTGATGGCTTTGTCTTGTAACCAGATCTAATGAATTTGATGGTTTTGTCTTCTACCCAGAGCTATAGAATGTGATGGCTTTGTCTTGTAACCAGATCTAATGAATGTGATGGTTTTGTCTTCTACCCAGAGCTATAGAATGCGATGGTTTTGTCTACTACCCAGAACTATAGAATGTGTTGACTTTGTCTTGTACCCAGATATAATGAATATGATGGTTTTATCTTCTACCCAGAGCTATAGAATGTGATGGCTTTGTCTTTTACCCTGAGCTATAGAATGCGATGGTTTTGTCTACTACCCAGAACTATGGAATGTACTGGCTTTGTCTTGTAACCAGATCTAATGAATGTGATGGATGTGTCTACTACCCAGAGCTATAGAATGCGATGGTTTTGCCTACTACCCAGAACTATAGAATGTTTTGGCTTTGTCTTCTACTCAGGTATAATGAATGTAATGGTTTTGTCTACTACCCAGAACTATAGAATGTGATAGCTTGTCTTGTAACCAGATGTAATGAATGTGATGGATTTGTCTTGTAACCAGATCTAATGAATTTGATGGTTTTGTCTACTACCCAGAACTATAGAATGTGATGGCTTTGTCTTCTATTCAGATCTAAGGAATGTGATGGTTTTATTTACAACCCAGATCTAAGGAATGTGATGGTTTGGTCTACTACCCAGAACTATAGAATGTAATGGTTTTGTCTACTACCCAGAACTATAGAATGTGATGGCTTGTCTTGTAACCAGATGTAATGAATGTGATGGATTTGTCTTGCAACCAGATCTAATGAATTTAATGGTTTTGTCTACTACCCAGAACTATAGAATGTGATGGCTTTGTCTTCTGTTCAGATCTAAGGAATGTGATGGTTTTATTTACAACCCAGATCTAAGGAATGTGATGGTTTGGTCTACTACCCAGAGCTATAGAATGTGATGGCTTTGTCTTGTAACCAGATCCAATGAATGTGATGGTTTTGTCTTCTACCCAGAGCTATAGAATGTGATGGCTTTGTCTTGTAACCAGATCTAATGAATGTGATGGTTTTGTCTTCTACCCGAGCTATAGAATGCGATGGTTTTGTTTACTACCCAGAACTATAGAATGTGTTGGCTTTGTCTTGTACCCAGATATAATGAATATGATGGTTTTATCTTCTACACAGAGCTATAGAATGTGATGGCTTTGTCTTTTACCCTGAGCTATAGAATGCGATGGTTTTGTCTACTACCCAGAACTATGGAATGTACTGGCTTTGTCTTGTAACCAGATCTAATGAACGTGATGGATGTGTCTACTACCCAGAGCTATAGAATGCGATGGTTTTGCTTACTACCCAGAACTATAGAATGTGTTGGCTTTGTCTTCTACTCAGGTATAATGAATGTGATGGTTTTGTCTACTACCCAAAACAATAGAATGTGATGGCTTTGTCTTCTACCCACAGCTACAGAATGCGATGGTTTTTGTCTACTACCCAGAACTATAGAATGTGATGGCTTGTCTTGTAACCAGATCTAATGAATTTGATGGTTTTGTCTACTACCCAGAACTATAGAATGTGATGGCTTTGTCTTCTATTCAGATTTAAGGAATGTGATGGTTTTATTTACTACCCAGATCTAAGGAATGTGAGGGTTTTGTTTACTACCCAGAATTATAGAATGTGGATGTTTTATTTACTACCCAGATCTAAGGAATGTGAGGGTTTTGTCTACTACCCAGAATTATAGAATGTGAATGTTCTGTCTACTATCCAGAACTATAGAATGTGATGGCTTTGTCTTCTACCCAGAGCTATAGAATGCGATGGTTTTGTCTACTACCCAAAACAATAAAATGTAATGGCTTTGTCTTCTACCCTGAGCTATAGAATGCGATGGTTTTATCTACTACCTAGAACTATAGAATGTGATGGTTTTGTCTACTACCCAGAACTATAAAATGTAATGGTTTTGTCTACTACCTAGAACTATAGAATGTGATGGCTTTGTCTTCTACCCAGAGCTATAGAATGCAATGGTTTTGTCTACTACCCAGAACTATAGAATGTGATGGCTTTGTCTTGTAACCAGATCTAATGAATGTGATGGTTTTGTTTACTACTCAGAACTATAGAATTTGATGGCTTTGTCTTTTAACCAGATCTAAGGAATGTGATGGTTTTATCTACTACCCAGATCTAAGGAATGTGATGGTTTTATCTACTATCCAGAGCAATAAAAGTTAACGTTTTCCTAAACTGAATATGTTTTTCCAATAATACTTACCATTGCTGACACTTTAGCTATTCGTTAACATTGGCTTTGCCTATCTAAGCATTGTTTTCACCTGCTCCATTCTTTTATACCCTACTTAAATGTCCTTGGCAATATCTAATTTGCAAATTCCTCCACCCGAATAAATGTGCTCTTTATCCTGACAATATATATTAAAACCTCACTCAGATAATGTAGTCACTTTTTTGAGACTTCCTCTATCCCAGTCACTAAGATCAGATCTTAGTGGGGAGGAAGAGTAGGAGAGTTTTAGCGGTGGTAAGCGTCATTGGAAATACATTTTCAATTTACGAAAATCTTAACTTCCAAATTATACTTATTCGCCACTACCACTTTAGCTAGAGAAGGTGGATGGGCTGTTGTGGACAATGTGTGTATAGAACAAGGGTGTACCAATATAAGAGTGGTAACCAAGTGGGGATCCGTAGAGAACAGAGGTTTACCAAGATAAGAGTGGTACCCAAGAGGGGATCTGTATAGAACGTGGGTGTAACCAAGATAAGAGTGGTACCCAAGTGGGGATCTGTACAGAACAAGGGTGTAACCAATATAGAGTGGTACACAAGTGGGGAACTATACAGAAAAAGGGTGTACCAAGATAAGAATGGTACCCAAGAGGGGATTTGTATAGCAGAGGGTGTAACCAAGATATGAGTGGCACCCAAGTGTTGATCTGTATATAACAAGGGTTTAACCAAGATAACAGTGGTACCCAAATGTTGATCTGTATATAACAAGGGTGTGTTTACCAAGACAAGAGTGGTACTCCAGTGACGATCTGTATAGAACAAAGGTGTACAAAGATAAGAGTGGTACACAATTGGAGATCTGCTTAGAACATGGGTGTAGCCAAGATAAGAGTAGTAACCAAGTGGGGATCTGTATAGAAGAAGGGTGTACCAAGATAAGAGTGATACCAAAGTGGGGATCTGTATAGAACAGGGGTGTTCCAAGTTAAAAGTGGTACCCAAATGGAGATCTGTATAGAATATGAGTGTAGCCAAGATAAGAGTGTTACCCAAGTGTGGATCTGTAAAGAACATTAGTGTAACCAGGATAAGAATGTTATGCAAGGTAATATCTCTACAGAACAAGGGTGTACCAAGATAAGACTGGTACCTAAGTGAGGATCTGTATAAAACAAGTGTGTATCCAACATAAAAGTGATACCCAAGCGGGAATCTTTATAGAACAGGAGTAAACCAAGATACGAGTAGTATTCAAGTGAAGATCTGTATAGAACAAGGGTGTACCAAAAATCTGTGGTACCCAAAAGGGGATCTGTATAGATCAAAGGTGTAACCAAGATAAGAGTGGTACCCAAGCGGAGATCTGTATAGAACATGAGCGTAGCCAAGATAACATCTCTACAGAACAAGGGTGTACAAAGATAGGAGTGGCACCCAAGTGAAGATCTGTACAGAACAAGAGTGTACAAAAATAAGAGTGGTACCCAAGCAGGGATTTCTATTATAGAGGGTGTAACAAAGATAAGTGTGGCACCAAAGTGTTGATCTGTATATAACAAGGGTGTAACCAAGATAAGAGTGGTACCCAAGAGGGGATTGGAATAGAACCAGGGTGTAACCATGATAAGAGTGGTACATAAGTAGGGATCTGTATAAAGCATTGGTGTAACCAAGATAAGAGTGGTACCGAAGTGAAGATCTCTACAGAACAAGGATGTACCAATATACGAGTGGTACCCAAGTGAAGATCTGTACAGAACAAGGGTGTACCAAGATAAGAGTAGTACCCAAGAGGGGATCTGAATAGAACATGGGTGTAACCAAGATAAGAGTGGTACCCAAGTGGGGATCTGTATAGTAAAAGAGTGTAACCAAGATAGAGTGTTATACAAGTGGTGATCTGTACAGAAGAAGGGTGTACCAAGATAAGAGTGCTATCCAAGTGAGGATCTGTATAGAACAATGGTGTATCAAGATAAGAGTAGTACACAAGTGAAGATCTGTATAGAACACGAGTGTACCAAGATAAGAGTGGTACCCAAGTGGGGATTTGTATAGACAAGGGTGTAACCAGATAAAATTGGCACCCAAGTGGGGATCTGTATAGAAGAGGGGTGTACCAAGATAAGAGTGGTACCCAAGTGAGGATCTGTATAGAACAAGGTAGTACCAAAATAAGAGTGGTATCCAAGTGGAGATCTGTATAGAACAAGAGTGTAACCATGATAAGAGTGGTACCCAAGTGGGGATTTGTATAGACAAGGGTGTAACCATGATAAGAGTGGTACCCAAGTGAAGACATGTATAGTACAAAGGTGTGTGAACCAAGATAAGAGTGGTATACAAGTGAGGATCTGTATAGAACAAAGGTGTACAAAGATAAGAGTGGTACCCAAGTGGAGATCTGTTTAGAACATGGGTGTAGCCAAGATAAGAGTGGTAACCAAGTAGGGATCTGTTTAGAAGAAGGGTGTACCAAGATAAAAGTGGTATCGAAGAGGGTATTTGTATAGAAGAGGGTTTAACGAAAACAAGAATGGCACCCAAGTGTTGATCTGTATATAACAAGGGTTTAACCAAGATAAGAGTGGTACCCAAGTGTTGATCTGTAAATAACAAGGGTGTAACAGAGATAAGTGTGGTACCCAAGTGGGGATTTGTATAGAATAAGGGTGTAACAAAGATAAGAGTGGTACATAAATGGGGATCTGTATAGAACATTGTTGTAACCAAAATAAAAGTGGTAACCAAGTGGGGATCTGTATAGAACGGGGGTGTACCAAGATAAGAGATGAACCAAGTGAAGATCTGTACAGAACAAGGATGTACCCAGATAAGAATGGTACCCAAGTAGGGATCTGTATAGAACAAGGGTGTAAACAAGATAAGAGTGGTACTCAAGTGGGGATCTATACGGAACAAGGGTTTAGCCAAGATAGGATTGCTATCCAAGTGAGGATCTATATAGAACAATGGTGTAACGAAGATAAGAGTGATACCCAAGTGGAGATCTGTATAGAACATTGGTTTTGCCAAAGAAGAAATGTACCCATGTGGGCTTCTTTATAGAAAAGGGTGTACCAAAATCAGAGTGGTACCAAAGTGGGGATCTATATAGAAGATGGGTGTAGCCAGGATAAGAGTGGTACACAAATGAGGATCTGTATAGAACAAGGGTGTACAAAGATAAAAGTGGTACGAAAATGAGGATCTGTATAGAACAAGCATGTAATCAAAATAAGAATGGTACCCACGTGGGGATCTGTATTGAACAAGGGTGTACAAAGATAAGAGTAGTATCTAAGCAGGGATCTGTATAGAACAAGAGTGGTACCCAAGTGGGGATCTGTATAGAACAGGGGTGTTCCAAGTTAAAAGTGGTATCCAAGAGGGTATTGGAATAGAAGAGGGTTTAACCAAGATAAGAATGGCACCCAAGTGTTGATCTGTATAGAACAAGGTACCACTCTTATCTTGGTTACACCCTCTTCTATACAAATCCCCTCTTGGGTACCACTCTTATCTTGGTAAACGCTTCTTCTGTACAGGTCACCACTTGTGTACAATTCTATATTGGTTACACCCTTTTTCTATACAGATCCCCACTTGGGTACTACTCTTATCTTGGTACACCCTTGTTCTGTACAGATCTTAACTTGGGTAGCATTCGTATATTTGTTCACCGTTCTTCTGTAGAGATCTTACCTTCGGTACACCTCTTATCTTGGTTACACCAATGTTCTATACAGATTCATACTTATGTACAACTCTTATCATGGTTACACTCTTGTTCTATACATATCCTCACTTATGTGCCACTCTGTATTGGTTACACCCTTGTTCTATACAGATCCCCACTTGGGTACCACTCTTATCTTGGTTAAACCTTGGGTACCACTCTTATCTTGGTAAACGCTTCTTCTGTACAGATCACCACTTGTGTACAATTCTATATTGGTTACACCCCTTTTTCTATACAGATCCCCACTTCGGTACCACTCTTATCCTGGTTACACCCTTTTTATATACAGATCAACACTTTGGTTCCACTCTTATCTTGGTTACACCCTCTTCTATACAAATCCCCTCTTGGGTTGGAATTTGTATAGAACAAGTGTGTAACCAAGATAAGAGTGGTACCCAAGTGGAGATCTGTATAGAACAATGGTGTAACCAATATAGAGTGGTACACAAGTGAAGATCTGTACAGAACAAGGGTGTACCAAGATAAGAGTGGTACCCAAGTGGGGATCTATATAGAACAAGGGTGTAACCAATATAAGAATGGTACACCAGTGGGGAGCTGTACAGAAGAAGGGTGTACCAAGATAAGAGTGGTACCCAAGAGGGGATTTCTATAGAAGAGGGTGTAACAAAGATAAGAGTGGCACCAAAGTATTGATCTGTATATAACAAGGGTGTAACCAAGATAAGCGTGGTACCCAAGTGGGGATTTGTATAGAACAAGGGTGTAACCAAGATAAGAGTGGTAGATCAATGGGGATCTGTATAGAACATTGGTGTAACCAAAATAAAAGTGGTAACCAAGTGTAAATCTGTATAGAACAGGGGTGTACCATTATAGGAGAAGAACCAAGTGAAGATCTGTATAGAACAGGGGTGTACCATTATAGGA